ATCACCGAGCAAGGTTTCGGGAAGACATTAATGTTGGTAAGTTTGAAACATATGCATGACTTATTATATTTCATCATACTATTGTAATCAAAATTACATTATTTATTTTCCTTATATGAATTTAATTTTCGTGGTTACCACAAATAACAAAAATTGATATACTTGATAACCGACTTAAAGTGCAGTGTTTAGGAAAAATAAAACATCTCTTGAATTTAAATGAGATTGTGCACTTGGTTTGTCGGAGAACAAAATCAGTCTGCCTTCCTGCCAAAGTCAAAGATATTATTGCATAAATGCATATTTTGTTTCGCAAAATTATGGACAATGTCAAATAACAATTAGACTTTATATGTGGTTATGCCTACCTAGAACATAAATGTCAAAGCCACAAGTCATTTTAAAGGTAGACAGACGACCAAGTCCTTCTATCCACTCATCAGATAAATCAGTGTATTTGACTACGAAGGACCATGTACCAATACTCATAATGTTATCTTTGGACCCTATCAGTTTTCAGGTGCAATTATATAAAAATATTCAAGTACATGCATATACAAAGTGTCATTGTTATAATCATATTTCCTGCTTGGAAGTGTTACAAGTGCGTTCTATATCCCGACGTTTGCCCTCCCCTTTAAGAATTTTCATCTATCAATTGAAATGAATAGCCAATCATAACTTATTGATTGTAAACTGTAAATTACATTATAATATTGTTTTGACATAATATTAATAATTCATTTATTGATAATAATCTTGTTTTAGGCGAAATTATTTATACCCTAATTGCATCAGATCCTGACGGTGACTGTATAACATTTGGTGTTCAGGACGGTTCAGAATACTTTGACGTCAACGACCAAACTTGCACAGAAGCTAAAGTTAAGCTAACAAAGGCTTTTGATTATGAAGTAAGTTATATATAATTATGTATTTTATTTGATATCCCCTTTCAAACACAAGACAATAGTTATGCATTACATGAATTTTGTTTAGTAACTAATACGATAAAATCATTCATGAGCGTATGTTTATGTAGTATTTTACTCGCGGTCCAATAATTTCTTATGTAACATGGATAGCAAAATTATTTATGCGAAAAATAGGCTTGAGATGAGGAATAATATGTTTCATACTCAGATATGAGCCTTGAATTTGAAAAAAATCTTTTTAGCAATCTTGACCACCATACAAATCAGATTCAATTAAATGACACATACTTTATGTGATAGATCCTTTCCTTGTACCACTGTAACGCTGCTCACATCTCTAATTTCAACTTATTTATATTATTTCTGTGATTTATGAACACTTTACATGTATTTTATCACTATACTATGTGTGATTACAGACTAGTACCAGCGTCTCAGCCACATGGACTTTGGATGATGTTCACAATGATCCAGTATGTATATATCGTTTAATGTACATATTACTAAGAAGGCCTTACAAATTATTTTTTGTATCACGATAAGAAAAAACATAAATAAATTTAAGTCAATATTGTTTTAAATCTGCATCTATAAGTTTGATTGATTCTAGAGGAAAATTTCAGTGTACTTCAGATTTCGGCGTTAATTATTTGCCTGGTACCATTACATTTCATGAATCCTTTGGAAATAATGGTTTTTATGGATGAGATTAATAGTATTGCTTTGTAGGAATTTGAAAAAATCTAGTTTCGTCTGCAAAACATCAAAGGCATTTATATTAAAAATAAGATTGGTCACAAATAGCAGAATTTTTTGTGATCCAGTACATTGATTTAATGGGGAACATCTTGTTCCCCCAATTTTTCTTAGAAACAAAAGAATTACGAGTTTCCACCAAGGTAATCTTTGAAGATACTAAGTGTCGTAATTTTGGCAGCCAATTTAGGATGGACATTGGAAAATACTTCTGCTATATTATATTCACACTAGAATTTTCTAGTAGATTACACATTATGGTGTTTGGGATAAATTTAGTTGAGGATTTATTTAACATTTCATTAATTACTTACCATGTTTTATTGGAATTACCCTGAGTAGACAAGTCGCAATGAGGGAATCTGGACATTTCTGTTCAAGTGTTGACATGACATTTGTTCGTTTGTATGGTATTGTTGTTCTCTGTCGGTCGCCATCATGTTTTGCACATCTAGTTGTGTCATTAGGAAAAAGTTTCATCCCACATTTCCTACAATGATCATAAACGTACACTTCTGGTTACTCCGTTAGCATTACATTTTATACTTTTGTTTTGTGCTTTTGATTTGACAGGATATAATTGGCCTTTAACTTTTTATACTTCAAACGTATTTCAGCTGATGGTCAGTATGTTTGTGAATACGCAAAAACGTATTACGTTGTAGAAATATATACGTAGGAGTGCTACTAGAAAATAGAACTTGAATGAAATATGCATTACCAACGAATTGACTTTGATTCACAAATAAAAGTAGCACAAGAACACTGATTTCCATTGCTTACACTAACTTGGTCGAATGTCACCAATTTATGTCATAGGGTGGTGGTGTTAGCAGCCAATTTATTATAAGTTATTTATATTTTTGGTTAGTAACATTGGTATCTAATACCAGAATCAATTAGTACGAGGCAGTGAGTCATTCAATCAAACAAAGCGTCAGTCAAATAAACGCCTAATTTAGTATTATTTTATTTATTGCATAATTATTTTATCAGTATCCTTTTATGTTTTTTATTATTAGCAAAGCAACACAATTTTGATATAATATAATGCAATATGCAACATAACTAGAGATGTTTGAAATATATGCCATTTGAATGTTCGAAAATGGAGCTCTATAGGATAGAATTTTCTCAAAGATGAACTTGTATTGTTTATAGATATTTCTATGATATAAATTACAAATTAACTGTTAAAAAGCAGCACAGTTACAAACTAAATAATGGTGTTCACGTCCGAACGTCAAAGAAAGTAATTATATTTGTTAGAATGTGCCAATTTTTGAATTTCTTTCAATCCCTATCCGGTCGAGATCAGAAAAAAACGAACATTCTATATAATTGTTAATCCCATAAAGTATGTTCACCAATAAAATATTTTCTTTATGTGCGTATATCTGTATTGTGTGTTCAGGTATGTCGTTGGTGTTTGCTTTCATTCCCCAACGGTATCATTGCAATTTGAGCATGATATTCCGTTTCAAGTCTCGGGTGTATGCATTTAAAAATATTGTTGTCAATCGAAGTTCCAGTGTTTTTTTCTTAATTTCCGCATATATTTTCCGATGACTCAGGTCGGTCTAAATATGTTTTCCCGCAAAACAACTCTATTTTCTGTCACGTGAGGGATTTAATATTTCTGACATCTTCTGAAAAAAAGATTATATTTCAAACTCGCCGGTAAATTTTAATTTTGGGTATGCTTCTACTAAAATAAATCACAATTTGTATTATCAAGGCTTACGTAACTGTCTCTCCCCAGTTCTGCTTTGGTAACTATTTTCTGGATCATGTGACAAATTCTAGTAAGTAAAGACTAGAGTTATTCATATATTCGAATTGGACGATCGTTGAATACCCTGTGTTTGATGACGTCGTCCTGACCATGACATATTGCACGTCACCTACTCCTATCCCAACTATGAGTGATTGAATATGACTGGGTAACCAATCAACCATCTTCCACAAGTTCTACTCATTTCGTCTTTGGTGGTGCTGGCTAGATCTGATGAAGGTATACACTAGAAACATATTGGTCGACATTTTAGGAACTGAACTTGGCAACAAATGCATTTTTTAAACACAATAAAATAATGATACAATAGTGGTATAATGATTATACAATGATACTTTAAAATTAACTATAAAACTCTATATTCATAATATTGCAAGAATGCAACTTGCAATGCAACACACAATTCACCTCACTTCATTGTAACACATTTATTATTATACGCAGTACACATTTTTAATGATGTATAAAAATTGTATAAATGCGTTCAGAGAGTAAATTAATAGCTTAAAGGGCGGCAGTCGTCGTACTGCGTCCTGTTCGATGTGGGACTCATAGCGACGTAAACAACGCGTGTAAAATACATTGTTTATTTACATGAAATTCGAACACGCGCTGCGTGACTACCACCTCGCTTTAATTACATTCTTCGTCGATTATTATGTTTTGTTATAATCTAGTAGCATACAGGTAGTTTTGTTCTGTCTGTAGGTGGAGACTGACATCACTGTGTACATTGTTAATGTAAATGACCATTCACCAGAATTCATTGGCTCTCCTTATGTAACATATGTATTCGAGGTAAGGGTCAAATAGTTTATACGTGATAGAAACATTTGTTACTTGATTGGAATATTCCATACAAATAACGGACTGGTAATTTTATCCGGCTGTAAAGGTAAAGTTCCCAATTATACAACCAATGCTCATATGCACCATTGTTCAAAGCGTTCATTATTTATAACATTTGTATTTATTTATTTATCGTTCGTATGCAAATTAGTAAAGCCTCACAGTTATGCGCACACGCCACAAACACCCATCCACCCCCACAAAAAACCAACATTGAAAATATTAGCAAAGGAAGGGGTTCAAACCAACAACATCAACCAACCACAGAAAATAGAGCCTCTGGTTCAGGC